TCGGGAGATCTGACTGTATGAGACTCAGGCTACTTTTTGATTTGTTTATTGCACAGTTCAAAAGGCAAAATCGTATGAATAGGAGTGATAAACTTAACTGATACTATCTCAAAGATATGAGGTGCAATTCAAACCTGAGATGTGTAATAAGATGTAAAATAGATTTCCTCTGGCCTCACTGGGCACAATGTAGCATAAATGAGAATAGAGAGGTCATGAACAAGGTGTACATTAAATTAGTTAAAATATAATCCTCAGTACATACATAGAACAATGTTTTGAAGGTAAAACACCTCTCTTGTACAGCCGTACTTCTGCAAATATAATAAATTCAACAAATTATATGAAATATCTGCTGAGAAATTTTTTTGCAGGAGCAAAATATGAACTGCATTTCATCACAGAATAACTTTAAACAGGTTAACCATTTTCCATGGTAAAATCTATTATTTGAGACTCATTCCATGAGTCCATGTCTAACCTCTTTTTAAAAACATCCATTTTGGATTCCATAGCTTCTTTCTGAGGAACATAGAGCCATACCGTATCTCTGACAGTTTTTCTTCTAACTGAAGACTGCACTGAAGTCTAGAAAATCTGTACTGTTGTTCATAGCTCACTGGAATACTCTTTTGTGCCTTATATTTATCAATGAATGTCCCAAAAGACAAGCAACTTTCCAGAAGTGCCAAAAAGCAAATCAGTCTAGCACACTGCAGGTTACTATACACATGACAATAGCCTTTATTAGCATAATGTGTTATAATACATTATATAGTGAGTCTCTGAGGTTTAGTAATCCCTGTCAGCAACCAGAATAAATGGAAATAGTTTCCAGGAGATGCAAGGCCTATGAAAAGACTTAGTTTTCAAAAACTAGAAGCATTCAAACTCATGCATGCAGCCTCTGAAACAAAAATCTCATGAACAATCTTTCATCACAATCATTTGTGGAAGTCAAATGCCTCAAGTGTACTTAAGAGATTAAAGAGGAGTTAAACTGAACACTAGCAGTTTCATACTTTCCATACTGAAACAAAGGTTTGGTTCATTCTCTCAGGCTTGGCGACAGCAGAAGTTTTTAATTTTGGCTTTTTAATACGCTTAGATACTGAACTTGTTAGCTGAGAATAGCCAAGTTCCACATAAAAGTAAGCACAGCTCCTTGAGGATAATATCTAAGGCACAAGTGAGAGGGTTTTTTACTTACTTTAATGCACAGCTGGATGGAAAAAACCACTGATATTAGATATGTTGCATGTACAACATAATGCTGCATGGGATGAAGGTGCATCACAATTACTGAAATCCTGAAGGCATAACTGCCAGGAGCTCAATCCACGCAGACAGGGAAAAGGCATCTCATGCTACACTTTTTGTGCCCTTCCCTTCAGCAATTCCCAATGACATTTAGCAGGGAGACAGTACTAATCTAGCTGGACCTTTGATCTGCTCTAGTACAGCTGTACTGATTTTCTTACGGTGCTGTGAATTATTGACATATTTAGTAAATTTTTTCAAATTTTACTAGTGTAGAACAATTACCAATATCATAACACTTAAGATCAGTTCAAATTATTAAAACACCTTCAGAAATTCTTAGCTTATTATTGTTGATACAGAGATAACATCACTATAATAAATACTACTGTCTTTTTACAGACCTGCTTATTCTTGGTAGCATTCCACTCTCCAGTTTATTCCCTCATTTTTTCCTGTATTTTTAAAGTACTCATCACTGTTCAGTTGAAGTTCTGGTTAAATGATCAAAGGCTTTAACAAAACTATCCTTTAATACCATGCTGCACTCATACCATAAAACAGGAATTCAATCAACTCTGTTGCTAGAACTCCACAAGATAATTTCTTACTCCCAAAGCATCAACATGCTTCAGCCTCAGCAGCGTTGCCAGGTACAACACTCAACAGCTAACTGCAGTTGCAGCCTGGAGCTGCAGTGCCACTATGCATGTGCGTTGCTGGCTTCTGTGGAAGCTTTCACTGCTTAGGCTTCGTCTCTTGATTATATTAAATGAAAGTACAGCTGTAACCCTACCCAAGCCATTTATTCTATTTTTAACCTTGCAGACATGCAGATAAACACAAGGGGGAGGAGAAAACAGTGTTAAATTAAAAGATAGGAAGCGTGCCATAGGTAAATCTATTTCTTTAAATCTTTCCTGATCTGAGTCGCAGGAAGTCTCTAATTGTCTGTGCCACAGTCCCAGTTTTCCTGGACTGCTTGCATTATTTCATCTGTTACCATCTTCTCTGGTCTCGTATCAGGCTTCACCTTTTACCAAGGTAATGCCAAACATCATATAGACCACTCAGAATCACAAAAAAGCTGACTTCATCCTACTTTCAATTAATCTCATCTGTAATAAAATCAGCAGCTGAAATACCTTCCCTCCTTTACATGTTTAGTGTTACTCTTTTCCTGAAGTAGAGCCTGGTTTTTTTCCACATTTTAAATTTGTCTTTGAAATAGTATGGAAGCTTCCCAAGTTGCAAGCATCTAGGATTTAAATTGCGGAGGGCTTGTATGATGCAAAGCATTAATTTGTTTTCCTGAGGCTTTGTGTCCTGTGAGTAGCTGCTCATAAGAGGACATGGAGGAATCTCTGAACAAAATGAAACCAGTTATCAATTTTGCAACTAAAAGGTGGGAGCATGATGAGACAGAAATAGAAGGTCCTTATGCTGCTATGCCTCACCTCCTCAAACTGCTTCTTCTTGAGTTTAGTAGTCACTGCTGTCTTTTCCTACCAGCTGCTATGTAAGAAGTGCTCTTTGAAGTCATTTATCAGCACCAACTCTGTGCTGGCTGGGGGGGTGGGTGGGGAATACTGCAGCAACAGCTGAGGAGGAATGACCACATACCACCTAGGTATAAGTCATTACCTCTCACTGGCTAACTGACCTTCCTCCCAGGGGAGCTGGGTGGAGATTAACTCTGTTCTTATTAAGGCCAGAAGCAAACCTTAACTTCAGAGAGAGCAGGATTAAGGACAATTCCTTTGGTCACTTATTTGCTTGCCTGTCTAACCATGTTCAATATTCTTTCAAGCAGCTGTTGAAGAAGGAAAGGCTGCTTTATTTGCCTTTTGCTAGCAGTGGGCAGACTGCTGTTAGCATACACGTATGGAATCTCGCAGTACCAGTAACTATATTGCTCAGTAGGACACTAATGGCATTGCGCAGTACGATTAAGCAGTATAAAGGTCTTTGCTTTCATGAAAAGAGCAAATTATAGTTGAAGAGTGGACATCTTTGTATCTCATTTTGTTTATTGGACTTTGAAGAAAGATTTGACAAAATATTCCCTGTACTACTGCTTTACAGGTCATTTGCAGTGACCAATGGTGCCTAATGGTGCCTCCAACAATGAAAGAATTCACTCTGTTGTTGTACAGTTACTTTTTAATAACTGAATTCTCAAGCACACAACCTCTCTGCTCTGGATTGTCCCCTCTGCTTCAATTGTACCCTGTACAAGTAGGTTGGTAGGGAGAGAGCAGTGCTCAGTTCGTCTTCTGCTCTTACCTTTCTCCACTTGCTGTTCTCTGTATAGGTAATGAAGATAGACTGCAAGACAGCATCAGATTAGTCAAGTAAAACATTCAATTTTGAAAAATAAATAGTGGTTCATACCCTAAGAAGTGGAAAAACTGAAGATGAGCCTTTTTGCGGGAAGGTGAAATGTTTTGTTCACCACACAAGTGGTCAGAACGCAAGACCTCCCACAGGCCACTCGGTGACAGGCTTTGGGAAACTAATGAGGTCTGGGTGCTTGTAGGCTGGACAGAAAGGACAATTTCTGGCACATAACCAAAGAATGAGAGTAAAATCCCAGCTGTCTTGGAGGTGGTAGGACTTCAAAGACTAGGTTTAAAAACCATCTGAACACACAGGCGTGTGACAACTGGATAAAAAGAGAAGAGCTAGATACTAGGATACTAGGTTGTAGGCTGAATTATAACAGAGTGGTTACTGAGTTTTACAGACTGTATTGTACAGCCAATGTGTGTATTTTACCTGGTACGCTGGTTTGTAACTTGACAAGAAGAGTGCCAGAGCATTTAAGGTCCCAAGTTTTACACCATTCATTCAGCTCGCTTTCTTAACATCCACTTTACTACAAGAATAACAGGAAGAAATAATTTTAAAATCAGAAAACCAAATTAAATAACAAAGTAGTTATACTTGAAGGGATGCCAGGTACCCCTTCTTATGGGGGAAGTCCTGTAAGGGCTGTCAGCACTGTTCTTCAGTGAGTGAACTGAAGCCAGACCTGCCAGCCGCCAACAGCCCCCTCAGCTCAGAAGTCCTGCCTCAGTATTGACGAAAAAATTAAACAGTATGTGCTACTGCTGTACCATTTGTAATGGGTTTTTCATGGAAGTTTTCCTTTCATGTGTGGACTAAACAGCACACTCTTCAATGAAAATAACAAGACTTCATGGATTTGTGGCCTGAGGGCACTGTGTCTGCAGGACTGTGCTAACACCTTTGCCTTGCTATCAGGCATATTGCATATTGAGAGTGCGGCCATCAGCAGCACATTTAAACCCCTAGTCCTAGATTTAGATCAGATTTCTGGGTCTTTCAGGACTTCAAATCTTTAGTTACTAAAACATTTGATAATCTGTTTAGGAATATGAATGTCTTAACCAGAGCAAATGCTGTAAAAATCAAGTTCTTACTGTTTTTATAACAATTAGACCATTCAAGTACAACTGTTCGCAGGAATCATAAAAATTCTTCCTATATGCATCAGTCTCATGTGAGGAACATGAAGGGTAGGAATTGCTTCTGAAGTTAACATGTCTCTCTCTTACATATATCTGTATTTGAATGCAAGCTAAATATAAATATACAGTATGTATATTTATCATTAGTAGAGTTATCTACTCATCAGTAAGTTAGTCCAGGAGGAACTATCTTTTGCTGTGCTTCCCTTCTGAAACATAAACATTTCTTAATTTAATTTTTCCTAGCTCTGTTTTGTGATGTTTTGGACGCCAAATGTGTCAGAGAAGATTTTAGTTGACATAATTGGAGTAGACTTCGCTTTTGCAGAGCTGTGTGTCGTTCCTTTGCGCATCTTCTCCTTCTTTCCAGTTCCAGGTAAAAAAAAAAAAAAAAAAAAATTGTAACCTTGAAACCAAACCAACAGTGAGGTATGGTTATAGAATCTGGCACGGCTATACATACAAGTGTGGCTAAATGCATGCCTAGCATAAGTATCGAAGCTGTTTGTATTGAAGGTGGTGGAGACCTAGCCTATTTACATTAGTAGTCAAGATACAAATCTTGCAGTAAGAGCATCAGTCATTGGGCAGATTTCTGACTGTCAAAAGTAAAGCTTGAATTCTTTCTATTGTAGTTGACCAGGAACAAACACATGAATGGCAGTAGTGATACATGAGAGCCAAGACTGAGAGTAACTGTTTGGAATAGCATCTAGGACCACCTCCACATTAACATCATCTCCATTAGTCTCCACTTCTGCTGACAGACCCAGTGGCTTTTTCAGATACAGAGCATAAACAATACATAATAAAAGTTAATACTCTTATCAAAGAGCAAAACAAGCTTGACAGCAATAATTGAAATGTTTCTCCTCAAAAAATTTCTAGCTCTGTAATTAAATGCAACATCATGTGTTGTTTTCTGCTTATATGACAAGACCGTTTTGTAATAAAGGTAAGCTACAAATAGAAGAATAGGTACATATAGATATCTTTTTTCGTGCCTGACTGTTACACCATGTACCACAACAGATGGAAAATTTTCTTTGATGTGACTTCTCTTTAGGGAAGGGGATAGTTTTTTTTTAAATGAAGAAAAAGAATGGACCATCTATTAAATGGATTATAAGAGAGCAGCTCTTGGATTGCTGTCCATAAGTGCCTTTTTTGTTTGTTTCTTTGTTTTCCCCAAATCAATATATTAAAGCAATTTGGATACAAGATTTACTTCCTTTCTAATAGGGTTTCCCAGTGTGCAAAGTTACCAACAAGTTTCACAGTGATTATTTCTGATTTGAATTTTCATGCTCTCTGCATGAAAGAGGTGCATATGAGATGACTGACTTTTTTTTTTTACTACTCTTGCCTCCTTTTCTCCTCACCTCCTCCCCTTTCCCTGTTTCTGAACAGTGACTGTCAGAGCGCACTTGACTGGTTGGCTGATGACTCTGAAGAAGACATTTGTGTTGGCACCCAGCTCAGTGCTGCGGATTATCGTCCTCATCACTAGTCTCATCGTACTGCCTTACTTAGGGTAAATCATTATTTTTCACAAAACTGATGGGTTTGTGTTCCTCTTCATTCCTGTTCCCTGTCACTTTATAGCTGAATTTGCATAGCTCAGACTTTTTTCCCCAAGTACTAACCATGATATAAAGGCTAAAGTGTCAATTTCTGAAAAAAGAAGCTTTACAAATTTACAAGTGTGACTGCTCTGGACAGGCACAGTACTTATGTCCCATTTGAAAAATATACGCAAATATCAGAGGCAAAAACGTATCCTAAGGGGAATTTATTTCCATGTTTTTAAGTGCATTGTTAAGAAAAGTAATGGAAGAATATCTTGTTTATAAGTTAAATAATCTATTCTACAGCACTCTGTACAAGACTTAAATTCTTAGTCCATAATTAGATTCAGTGTGCTTCTAGTACTAAACAGTGTAGCCATTAAGAAACAAACAAGTCCTTTAAAATGCCGGTTATTCTCTTTGCCAATGTATTATATCTTTGAAGAAAACATTTCTAACAACAGACTGGTTCTATATGCCAGTGAAAATATAATTACAAATCATGTATTCTAACACTACCATGACTGCTTTCTTTTTATGCCACCTACAGAGTTCATGGAGCCACTCTTGGAGTAGGATCCCTTCTAGCTGGTTTTGTAGGAGAATCCACCATGGTTGCAATAGCAGCCTGTTATGTCTATCGGAAACAGGTAAGAATTTGGCTCTACAGGATCTGGTGAAAGCAGTTGATGAATACAGTGGATTTTAGTTCAGATTAGGAGTACGCTTTTGAAATGTAACTCACCGGCATCCCCACTTACTGAACTTGGTTTGCTTCCCTGTTTGGTCTCAGGAGTGTGCAACTTGGAAATTCTTTGAGTTGAAATAAAACCAAAAGGTACCCTCCAGCTGCTAGTGATCATTCAGGCCATGGGACGTGCTGGTCTGATGTGATCCTCTTGTTCCTCAAAACACATGTATCATGGGTAGCATGTCCTTACCACCACCTGTGTTGCACTGTATATCTACTACTACAGTACAACATAGCATTTTTATGTAGACATGGAAACTACTCGTCCAAGCTTCTTATTGTATATGTGTGTGTATATATATATATATACACACATATATAATCATAGAATCACAGAATCACAGAATGATAGAATGCTTTGGGTTGGAAGGGACCTTAAAGTTCCAACTAGTTCTAGCTCCCCTGCCATGGGATGTGTTACGTGGTGTATACATATATATCTCTGTGTACTTCTATTTCATTATAAAAATAGCTCTGCTGAAAATGGACAAAAAGTACAGTTGCTTATGTACTTTTGCCATCTAGAGAAGTGGTTTAAAACAAGATATACTCCTGCAGCAGTTGATAATAACAGCTTACAAATAATTAAACAGGGGAGGTTTTCTCCCTGGCATATTTTTATATTTTTCACACACTACAACCCTGCATGTACAGAGTAGTAGTGATACATGGATTTCAAAGAATATTCCACTAAATTACGTTCAAACGCAGGATAAATATTGTCTGGGTGACTGGGTACATCACAGTGCCTGCATGTTGTGTCCTTCCAGTTACACATTCAAGGCACTGTGTAGGGCACCAGGTCTGACTCTGGGCAGAAACAGCATGGTTGTGTACCTCATTCCATAGTACACCTCTGTGGGTGGAAGCAGAAAATGTAATCTATGCAGTGAATGTTTCTTTCTTAATTAGACATCTTATGAAGTGCCAAATGGAGATATCCACCACTCGTGTTTTTGGAAAAAAGTACAGAAGATGGAATATCTAAAAGCCTTGTATTGGAACAACATAAAATCAGTTTTGATATGTATTAACAGTGCAGGCCATGGCAGCAGATCAAAATGTCAAGGTTCATAAGACAGTAGAAGAATCATGATCTCTGTCATGATCAGTCTGTCATATTTTTCTTGAGAACCAAAGAGTAAAACCTGTAGACTCTGAAATGGCCTGTTCTTGGCCTGTGGTTTCACAAAATTGGACTAATGTCCTCATTGCTTGTTTGTTACAGTCATAGTTCATAGAGTGTTTCTGGCCAGGTGCTTCATTTTTTACAGTGGTGAGTGCAGGTAGTAGTAGTAATAACTGTGCCAACCTAATTTATTCTTTATTCAGTGTGACAGTGGCAGAGCCAACCAGTAGCTCTATGCACCAAGTTGCTTTCACCTATAGTTTGAGAGCTGCAAATCAAGTGTTTTGTAGGCACCTCTGAAATTTTGAAATTCTGATGTGCCCAGCTCAGCTGAATCAATAATACCTGTGGGGGGGATATTTTGTCAGCTGTCCAATTGTTTTCTGTAATACTAGTCAGCCTGCTGAGAAGTGGGTAATAAGGAACAGATGCTTCAACTTGTTTTGTAGGGGGTTGAACGCTTCTTAGCTTTACTAATCCAGGACATCCTGGATGAATCATAGGACTCTTGAATGACCTCTTGCTCCTGCTAGCCAAAAATACTCTAATATTGCTTGGCCTTGGTTGGGTGGAGGATCACAGTGGACTGGCAGTACCAAGAAAAGCCAGAACGTTCGCATCTTGTAAAATGCTTGAAGTTTGAAATTTGAGAAATTAGGTTGCCACCTCTGTTTCATTCCCTAGAGCAGCTTTTGTTCTCCCATATTTTGTTGGCTTGGGGTTTTTTTTTGTTTGTTTGTGGGGTTTTTTGTTTGTTGGGGTTTTTTGTTTTGGTTTGGTTTTTTGTTTGTTTTTGTTTTTTTGGTTTTTGTTTTTTTTAATAAAAAGTCTGTGATGTAAAAGATTCCAGATGCTCTCTTCCCTCCAGTCATGGCTGAAGCCTGTCTTGGATGTTGCTTAGCATAAGAAAGCCTCTATGATTGCATTTATGTTAGAAAGGAGAAAGCTGAGCCCCAGAAAGGTTATGAAAATCTTCTAAGTTAATCCAAGTTATTAGTGACAAGCCACAAATATGACACAAATATTCTAGTTTTTACTAAAATACTCTAAACAAACCAGGTTCCCACCTCACTACTCCCAGGTGCAGAAAGTTCATTGGAGTGTGTTCATGCACAACTTACTGATAGGTGTCTGAATGCTTGTTTCAATCTAGAAAAAGAAGAGGAATGAGAATGAGACAGCTGTAGAAGGTGAAGACTCTGCAATGACCGACATGCCTCACACGGAGGAAATGACAGACATCGTAGAAATGAGAGAAGAGAATGAATAATAAATGGGATGCAATTGTTCTCTGCAGGGACGATTGGAGTGACACTTCAGCATCTTGTCGTCTCTCATACTTTTTCGTTTGTTCATTTTTATTTTTGTAATAAAGAGGCCTTGATTTAAAAGGTTTCAGATAAATTCTCTAGCATACTGAGTATGCTCTCACTGATGAGGGACCTAAAAAGAGGTCTTTGCTTCTTTATTTTTTTTTTCCAATTGAATTTGTTTTCTCACTCCATGCAAACATAAAAGATACAATTGCATCACTGTAGAGTCTTCCTTACTTATGCATCTACCTTCTCTGGACAATCTGCATTTGTCAACCAAAGCCCTGCTCTCTGTGCATGTGTGTGTGTGCGTGTGTATGGGCATGCACTTGCACGCTCACACGTGCACACTGGCACGTGCCACTGGCTCAATGCTACTGCCATAATCCTTCTCCCTCCCCTCTTTCCTTTTCCTTCCTTTTCTTCATGAGAAATGTAAAGGAAAAGAAGTTGGAATACAGAGCTTTATTTTACTTGCTTGAAAATGACTTTGCTACATAAACTAATATACTATGGTGAACTATATCTTTTTGTTTGGCCTCGTCACTAGAGCTTATACTGCACAGGGTAAAAGACAGGGAGGAACATGTAAGTCTCCACATACAACGTGGAGAAAAACAGGTTCCTCTCTCGTATTAAAAGTGTGTGGATGTATATATACACACACAGGTACATAAACAGAGACATACATACATATATATTTATATATGTATGTATGTATATGATAAATAAAGTACACACAGGACAAGAACTCTATTTAGCTTTCATTCCAGCAGAAAGATAATAATCTTTTGAAAAATGTAAACATTTAATTCAGAATTTTCTTGAATCATTAAGCCCCACCTTACATATAATTTTCTTTAGGGAAAAAGAGCAGGCACTATCCTCTTCTGAAGAGGGTGATGGCAACTGATAAACTACAACTGTATTTCAATTAAACAAAAATAAATATTGATAAGCTTTACCAAAGTTCTTGTCCACTGATCTAACTTTAATTTTTAAAGGTTGATTTGCTCTATATACTTATTTCTGGTGCCTCTATATTAAAAAAAAAACAAACATAACATATGCAGGATACCATGGTATATCACGTTACTACACATAGCTCGATGAAATTTTTTATATAGAGATACACATAATCACGTGTGTGTATATGTATATATACTTATATACACATGGCACACACACTCATATGTATGTTTTGCTATAATATATTTACCTATGCAGTAGGTCAAAATCCGTATGGTGAATCTCAAGTACTGGTGGTCCTCCAAGTTGATAATTAGGGACTTTGTTTATATGTTTGCTCTCAAGGCAGGCATTATGTGGGAGCTGGGAGCTGCTCACACCAGTCCTCCAGTGCTGTGCACGGAGCAGGCGGCGGGCGCTGTGTGGCTGTGGCTGAAGTGGGTTAAATAACAGAGCGTGAGGTCGGGTGGGTGATTCAAGTCGGGTGGAAATGAAGCCTGTGTAAGAGATGACCAGGGAGGTTTTGGGTGCCACTGATGATGGCTGCGGCAGCAGCTTGTATTTCTGTGCTCTTCTGTGTTTGGCTGCAGGGCAGCGTTCATTACCGGTCTGTAGTACCTTGGGTTCTTTCAGATTTAATCACGTCAGAGTCTGGAAACCATTATCCTCCATCCTATATCCATAAACCAGTTAATTTAAACCTTATTTAGTAAAAGTATATTTTTCTAAGTTGTGGAAATTATTATTTAATTGTGGACAAATTCCTAGATTTATTTGCCAGGTAGTCCCAGCACTCAGAGAACTGATCAAAACTAAACATTACTTTAAATGTTTTATCAATATATGTGTATGTAGACATACACATGTGTATAAATATATATATATTGTATATTATGTACATTTATTTTAAACTACAATATGTTTCCTATTTTTCCAAGTTCAGCTAAAAATGTCTCTACAAAACTACAGAGTTGACTAGTAACCAGTTATGGCCATCATGAAAGGCATTGTATCAATGAACTTTACATTTTATCGGAAACATTTGTACCAATTTGTTACATGTGCAAATGCAATAAGAAAAAAAGGTAGAAATTACTGTGTTAACTAACAGATTTGCAACTTCACTTCTCAGTTAATGAGCAGTGGCCCTAGGATGGTAAGACTAAATCCATTTACCACGTTTTTCTGTGCCACCATGGGGTAAATCCTGGTTTTGACAGTAGTTTAAAACAAAATTTTAAAAAAACCCCTCAGACAAAGTTATGTGTGCAGAATGTAGTCTGTACACATTCATGAATACAGGTTCTCAAACAATCCTGTGTATATAATGTGTATATAGACTGTTACAGATCACAGTGGCCATTTGAGGTCTCCTCTATTCACGTAGTTTTGGTTTCTCCAGTACATTTGTATTCAAGTCCACAAGATACAGTTTTTCAGGAACTGTAGAGATGAAGCAAGAAAATATTTTTGTGTAATATTTCTTTGGTACATGACTAAAATTCAAACAGCAGTATTTTTGAAAAATGTTGAGCATTACCAATGTAGGTTTCAAGATAGTAATTGCACCAAAAAGTAAAAAATTGAAAACAAATTAAAGGAAAACATGGAGGCTTGTGCTTTACATAAAAGTTGAACAAACACTAAAGTTGAATTATTGGTCACACAGAGATAAACTAATGGTATTGTAAAAGATAAATTTTCAATTGTGTGGGTAATACTCACTAGTCCTTTATTTTGCAAGATACTGAATGAGCACAGGAGTGGTGGGATTTGTGTGAGAATTTAAGCAGTGACATAAAGACACGTGCATTGCATCGCTTTCTGCTTCCTGCAGGTCATGTGTTTCTTTTCGTTGCTCTGCTGGATTAACAAAATGTGATGACGTTTCTGCAGCGAGTGATTCCAAGCCAGCCCCTCGTGCTGGTTCAGGTGCTCGCTGGGGGACAGGCAGGGTTCTCAGCAGGAAGAGGTATGTCCAGGTTGCTATTCTTCTGTCCCTTGCAGGCACTGGTTATGCTTCTGGGTACTGTTGGCAGGAGCTTCAGTGACCACTTGAAATGTTGCTGCTCCAGCTCCCAGTCAGTGGCAAATTAGCTGGACTGGTGAAACAGCCAGTCTGATGAGTTACAGGCTGGGAGTGAGCAGCCATCCTCTATGGCCAAAGCCCCAGTCAGAGCATTACTGATTCGAGTATCTCAGGCAGATGCTGGTTCTGCACCTTTGCCTTTCGAAAAGGACTTCCCTGAGTTCTAGTAAAATGGCTTAGCTGTCTCTGTCTTGTGCTGTTGCTTATGAAATGGTTATCTATCTCTGTGGTAATTATTTTACAATAGAAACATGTTACGTTTCTGTGTCAGAGAGCTGGAGCGCAGTCATCTCAATGAATTCATGTGGAGACTTGGCCTTTCCAGACTGAATTATACAATCGAAGTTACAATAAAAAGCGGAAAAATGTTGATCTTCATCCTACATCTCATGTTGCAGAACAATTTGCACAGTGGGAAATAAGAGCAGAACACTGATAAGCTGTGGATTAATGTTCCTCGGCTTTTAATACATTTGCAAAATTGTGTTAACTTGTCTTGAGCTTTCCTTTTTCAGAATTAACAGGAAACACTCCAGGTTTTTCCCTCACTGCTTTAAGCAGGCTCTCACGCTTAACAAGCCGTGGACTCGATGCACAAAGCTCTGCATTTCTCAGCCAGTGCCTGAGGCCATTTGGGTGCACCAGCGGGTTCCCAAGGCATGGAGCAGTCCTGCTCCCCATCCCCCTGGCGCAGCCATTCCAGGCAGGAGGGCTCAGTTCCCTGCTTGTTAGATAGAGCCACCCTGAGTGAGAGGATTGGGTAAGTAACAGAGAAGTCTTTTGTTTTCTACTCATTTTGCTGCTAAATATTTCTTTTGAGCAGGAGATTTATATCTGGCTCTTGCTTAGTGTTTCACCAAATCTGCAGCCAGAGAGGAGCAGCCTGAGACGGAGGGTTAGCTGATGAATGCAGCTGATTCAGGGCAGGCCACGGCACATGAACAGAAACCTTTTGAAGGCAGGAGTGCCTGCTTTTGTGGGATGGCGCCTCATGCTTAAAAAGAGGGGAGAAAGGATGCTTTCAGGCCCAGGCACCAGAATTGTCAGGCATACTTTCGTGTTGGGCTGCAAGGTGGCAACGGGAATCGAGCATCCTGCAGCTCGAGCATCCCAACCCCACTGCCAGCATCCTCAGTGAAGTGTGGGACAGTGTAGAGAATGGCGTGGCAGCAGTATTGGCTCTGTCTCTCACTGAGGTTTTGTCGTTGTGGCATGGTTGGCACAGGGTTGAGTGCAGCTGGTTGTTACCTGAGGATAATTGCAGGATTAGTCTACTGGAAGGCCATGCATATGTATATAAGTGTGTATACGAGAGTGTTGCACAGGCAATTTTATTACAACCTCTGTATAGTTCATTGGAACAAGGAAGTCTAAACACAAACAAGTCTAAACATGATTTTAATGTGGGACTAGTACTAAGCCATTTTTAAAAACTGCAGTTTAAAGCTACATGAAAGAGTAAATAAAACAGCAGACCTATACCAGTAAGCTAAAGCATGATTTAGATCAGTAAGCTGGAATGGGAGAGAAAGAGGACATGTTGAAAATCTTACGGGTAATGTATACCCATCCTGAATACAACAGCATGGTGTGGATATGAGGGAATCAAAGGGTAGAAAACACCAGAGCTGTGGCTGCTGCCATTTCCCTTTCAGCTGCCCTATAGAGGGACTGAAGGATGAGGAAGTGTGTCCATGAAACACCACTTCTAAGTATTTTGGTTTCCAAGTGAAAGACTCTTCAGAGAGAAGAGTATGAAACATCTTAAGATGATTCAAGTAGAAATAAACCAGCATGCAGGTTTTATAATGTGTGGCGAGGAGGCACTACATAGTTTCCTGTTTCTGAGTAACTGGCAGGTTTGAATTAAGGAAACATCACATAAATATTAATTAAACAAAAGACAAAATTATCCCAATTTTGGTATCAAATTGGCATTTCTCAAATACCAGCTAAACCATAATATGTTAGGATTCCCTTCCCCCATTCATATTTGGTTTTTTACTAGAATTCAAGTGCAGCAAGCCATCTTTTTTTGAGGGAGCAACCTCCTGTGGAGGGGATACAGTGCAGAGCAGGCTGTGGGGGCTTGTGGCAGAGTACCAGGTGGAGGAATGAAGAGCTCCCGATTTATTCTGTGCTCTGCAACACACTGTATAGCAGCCTGACAGCATCATGAAACAAGGCAGAATTGTCAGCTTAGCAGCAAACTTGGTCCAAGTGTGGTCGCAAGCTGTGGCAGCCCTGCAGAGCAGCAGAAGGCCATGGGATGCAGGGTAGCCCTGGCTCCGAGCTCAGGCTCAGACAGCCTGTGTGGATTTTCTTTGGAGAGCCAAGTTCAATTGTCAGTGCATAGATGCAATCCTCAGCAAAACCATTGCCAGACTTCTCAGTAATTGGCACCTTCTGAACAAAAAGGCTAAAGACAAATATGAGGGCAGAGCTTTAAGCTCAGCTTGGAGCGTGGACTTGCACAGAAGGGCATTTTGGCCACAGATCGTGGAAATTAATTGTACAGTTAGTGGGCTTCAGTCTCAGCATTTCATAGTCACAGATTACACTCTATCTTAGTAAAACAAAGAATGGCAGTATATTTCTAGGTCGTCTTTTGCCTGTAATCCTGAGGGGAAAGTTTTCCTTAGTATTAGCAAGCCTTGTCACTGCTCAAATCAATTTATTGGTTTTATCTCATTATTTTCTATTATTCCTAGTTCAGTGTCTTCAGACATTTCCTTATTTTCTTCTGAAGGCTCCTGCTAGGCTCATTTTGTCTGTTGGCATTTTGAGAAGGAAAATGTAATTGTCATGCTGACTGAACGTCAAGTAACGTTGTGATTAAAAAGTAGCTTACAACAAAACTCTTCTTTGATGGAGTGTTTTTTACTTCTCATTTGCTAAGCTGGAAAGGAGAGTCAAAAAGTAGAAGGAGTTGGGGAGTGTCTTTATTTAAAATTAAGAATTAATTGAGTTAATTTAAGTTCATTTCTTAACTCCAGCCACCTTGTTACTTTCTAGTGATCTGTGAGACCATGACCCAAACTTTTACAGCGAAGTTAGCACTGCATCCCCAGAGCAGCACAGAATAGTTTGAAGTATGTAGGCTTCACATATTTCACAACTGAATGTATAACAATGGGTTCGAGAGCCTGATCAACAGGGGCAGTCCATTTTGTTTAAAATCCATCTGGACAAGAGCAGCCTGGTCCAATGTCGAAGGTGGCCCTGCTTTGAGCGGAGGGGGACTTAACAAGATAACTGGCTGCAATCCCCTTCCCGCCTAAATTGTTCTCTGATTCAACCAGGAACATAGAGGGGTCCCTTCATCTTAAAGAACTTAAGATTGCTTGCCTGTTTTTTAGGGTTTAGGTTCAGGGTTAGGAGATAGTGCCTAACAGGGGTCTACAATGTAGACACATGAGCAAACATCTGAGCTGCACAGATTCTTTTGCTGATGACAAAATGTTCATATTGCAGAACCAGCTGTACATTACCCTCCCACCCTCTGGGAGCCCACAACAAGGACAAAGCAAAAATAAGTTATTGTATCTGCAGATGAAGTATTTGAGTACTGTTCAGCGCTTTTCCCATTAACTCTCTAAGCAAAACCACCTGAAAACAGTAAGCAATTGCACCTATTACCTGCTTCCTCCCATCTCTCTTTCTGTGCATCATTCAGTGCTTAAAAAAAAAGCTACCCTTTCTCGTAACTCCTTTCTGTAATCAAGGTAATGCAAAGTCAATACTTATGTAATAAAATGGCTTGGCCTATCTGCAAATGAGAGCATATAAATCCTCTCTTAGGAAAGGATGTATTTCAAAATTGGAACAGCAGCTTTATCCATAATTCAGCAAAAAAACTCACAACAGAAATGCAAAGAAAAAATTGCAGAACTGAAAAAAAGAAAATTGATTGCATTAACTTTTAATGAGAATACTACCTGGGTGGAAAGTAAGGTGTATGTACACATGCAGAAAACAGCAGAGCCTGGAACTAATGTTCATTACTCAACTTTGTAGTTTGCTCTCCAAAGCAGCACGAATGTTACTCTGCTTTTGTGTCCTATTATGATGAACAAAAAAATCCCTCCTGAGCTATAACAAAACAACTGGAAGGCTACAGGCAGCAAATTTACTGGTTACTTAGACCAACTGATTTTATCTTCAGACTTCGCAAGCACCACAACATTGCAAAAGCAAAAACTCCATAAAAGTTAAAGGGACCTATTTTTGTAGATGACATACCCTTACTTATTACCATCAACAAGTTTTTCACTTCACTTACTTAAGGTTTAATAAAAATACCTGCAGTATCTAGTATATTTTTAAAAAGCAAACGCACAAGATGCGAAACTCAACCTGTGTTTTCAAACTGGGCAGAAATGGCCCCCACCATCACAAAGGCAAGCAAGCTCAAATCCTGGTGCTTTGGCAGCACAACCTAGCAGCATTCCCAAGCTTGAGAAAGCCTTGTTTGGTCTATATGGAACAGAAAGCTTCTGGGAGTGCCTAAGGAGGAGCACATGTGAGTGTAGAGGAGTGAGTGTGTGTATGGGGAGAGAGACAGACGGCTGCAAATGAATGAGTTGAAGCATCTTTTGCAAGCACCCTGCGCTATGTTACCCTGCAAGGACCACACTGGTGGGCAGATTAGCCCATTCTATTATCATCTTTAGTGAAAGGTTCACTTTAGTGAGAGGTTATCAGGCAGTCTCAGTAGATACTAGTTACTAGATAAAGACAAACTTTACCGTGCAAACTGTCTCAGCTTTTGCAATGGAGCAGCCAGTATCACACACCCTGCTCTCTCCGTCTTTGCATACTTGAGCAGAGCCTGCCACAAGGTCACTCCAGAAGTAAACTACAAAGGTTGAGCAAAACCTAAAGTGCAGAGCAGCAGATGAGGACTATTTTGTCTTCACAGCAGGAAATTATCATGGAGGAGAACCAAACTGTGTAGATATAACTCCTAGGAAGTCTCTTAAAAGAGATGGAGTTTCTGAACAAAGATAGCTTTGACCACATCATGCAAGGTCAGACTCCACCATTAATAACATAAGACTACAAAGATAGAAGGTTCTCCAATCTCAGAGGGGTGCTATAAGGATAACATTCACTAATGCTGGTGACGGATGCTTGGATAATACAGGGAACAGTGTCACAGAAATGCCTAAAAATTAGAATATTTGCATGTTCTAATTGTGCCTTTGGGTTCTCTAAAATTGACTTGTTTTTAGTTTTATGGAAATACTTTTATAATTGGGAGCGAGGAGTAGTGTCTGGAAGCAAGATCCTAAAAAAAAGCAGCCCAAAATCTGAAGACTCTTGCTTAGTAAAGAGGGAAAAGGAAGTTTGGGAGCCTTATCTTTTCCTGACGTGGCCCTCTGACCATGGATTATTCTGCAGGACAGCATCTTATTCTCAACAGGCTTACAATGCTGAAAGAGGCAAGAGCAATAACTGGCCACACTTTGCTGAAGTTGCATTGGGATTAAGGTCAATTCTCTATAGAAAAATTCTCTACAGAAAAGGCCCCATTTTTCAGTTTGCTTCTGTAATTTGAAGGTAATCTGAGAACTAGGGAAATGCATATTTCACCTGAGAGGTATCACTTGGTTTTCATGTCTTTCAGAATATCTTTCAGCATCAGATTCAAATTCTTTTAGTAGGATAAAGGTGGTTTTATGCAAAGCAGTGTGCCTAATAGCCATCCTCAACTACTTAAACAAGTCAATTTTGCAAGGACTGTAGGTGTCAAGCCAGAGCACCGTTTGGAACTACAGTACAGGGATCCTAGATTTTAAATGAAATGTTACCTCATGCATCATCTTCTGTCGTACTTGTAGAATTCCAGTTGATTTCTGTCAAAATAAATGTTGCTTTCTATAATTTGTACACATGCTATAGCTACTGGTTTGGGTTTTTTTTTTTACTGACCATTTTTTTACTGACCATTTAAAGCTTTGCTTTAAACATGTGGGTTTTCTTTAAACTCTAAAGAAACCAATGAAGGTTACAACTTTGTACATTTTTTAAATCACTGCTAAGGTCAGAAGTATAAAAGTATGTGTCACATTAAAATTGAGTGCTCTTTATGTATTTAGCAGAGATGTATGTTTTTGCATTGTTAAAAAGAATGATCTATGCTTTCTTTGAGGGGGATCTGTGCTCCAATATTGTCCAATAGCTTTCATATTCTAATTACTTTAATTAAAGTTCTAACAGTTTGCATATGATTAATGATTCTGATTGCTTCTGTTTTATTAATTCTGATAGTCTGACATGGTCTAAAATGCTCTTCTCATTTGGAACAAACAAAATATACTTCCTGGTGAGAAATTAATCCAACATGCAAATTGTTTTTGAACTATGAGCATGATGCTGCCAACTGCAAGGTCTTAACTTGAAGTTAATGAAATCCAAAAGTATCCATAAAATGATACAAGACAAGCTCTTTATTTCTACAAAACTTCCAAGTGTCGTTGATATGGAAATACCATGGTCAGAATACTTTTTCCATACTAAATCAAATACTTTTATAATTCCTGTTAAATAAATACTTAGTATTAAAAGGAGAGCATTATTCTCACCAGGCCAAAGCAATGTCATGAGAAGATGCTTTATCCATCCATTTGGCAAGTCACCAAAGCTGTTCTTATGAAGCTGCAAAAACATTCCTAATCAAAAACGTTTTATTTTGAACATGTTCTCCCAAATGACCAAATCTGAGCCACCCAGGGCTAGCCAGAAGACTGACTATGGGATCACAGCTTTTAATGTCTCTCCTGATTTGACACTTGAGCAGCCACTGTTTTTAAAATGGCCTTGGAGAGGTACGATGGTTGGGCTTTGCTCATATTTTCCTCATGACCCCCCTGGGACACTGCTGCCTCAGCTCTCCCCATGCTGGCCCACAGCACAGACGCAGACTATGCTCTCAGAGAGAAGCCCAGCTTCTCCAGCCCACAAAATGACCTCCTCTCATACTGCTTTCAGTTTCAGGCAGCCTTAGGATTCCCCACCTCTTGTCAGCCCATCAATTCCTTCCTGTTTCCTCTTGTCTCCTCTCCTTGGGGCTCCATGACCACCTTCCCATCCCACTGGCATCTGTGGCCACATCCCCAGTACAGTGCAGGGGTTGGCAGTTTCCTGGCCTCTGCAGGGTGTGTCCCATCTTCCCTTTGATAGCGCTGGGAACAGGAGCTCTGTTTCTCCTGGACTTCGGTGCAGGGCTGTCCAGGGGACCTTTCGGAGAACTTGAACTGGCTGTGGCTCTTGCCATGTCCAGCTCCCCCTTCTCGATCTCCAGCCATGGCTAGAGAAAGGATCAGCTTATGTCTGGTCACATTCCTGCCCGAGACTGGGAATGCTGAGTGGGGCAGGGAATATAATTAGGTCATCTACACCAGCAGACGATAACTCCCTTCACCGCCCACAGGCACACACTCATTAGCTGCTGGCACCCGCCACTGCTGTCCCATGGCCACTTGCACAGAGCGTGCCCTGACCTTGTCCAAGCTCTCCATGCCCAGAGCACTGGCCTGGCAGGAGGCCATGCTAAAAAAAAAAATGGAAAAAAAAAAAAAGAGGCTCTGTTAGGGCTCAGAAAAAGATACTGCCTTTGTGCCTGACGGCTCTCCATGCCCGCTTATGAGGGCAGGGCCAAGGAAGCCAACATCCCTATGGTTTGGAAAGCCAGAGTCTGTTTGGAAACAGTTTGAGAATTTCTGCTGCACTGCTTTGTTTTGAGAAGACTGAGCAAGACCAAACGATGCAAACAGTCATGTGGCAGTGATTTTGACTTCTCTTAAACTACCTTGTACTCTTTACTTTGCTCTTCCTAAGCAAGAAAGGGTCTGAT